GCCAAAGCCAGGACCACTGAGTTACATGAAAAGCCTGGATTTTAACTCACATATGTTGAACTGAAAACTAAATGAGGTGGAGCCCTGTACTCATTTCGATGCAGCTAACTATGATAACTGTGATGGTTAATCTTGATTGTCAATTTGATTGGGTCTGGGACAAACTAAGAGACATGGAAGTGTGTGAGAGCATTTCCTGGAAGAATTAACTTCGAAGACCCTCCTCCACACAGTGGGTGGCACCTGTCAGGTGGGTGGCCCAGATACAAGGAGATCTAAGGAAGCAGCGGCACTGGTTGCCTGCCTGCATTTCCTGCTGATGAATGTGTTTTTCTCTGTTACTATTGCCATTGTTCGCTGACAAGCTCCAGTGTGGACTGAAGACCAGGGACTCTCCAGGACCTCTGCAGCTCTTCAGCACCAGCACCAGACTGGGACTGCTAAGGAAGATGGCTTCACTGATTGAGGAGCTATCAGGTTCTCAGCCTCTCCGGCTTGTAGACAGACAGTATTGGACCACCCAACCCCTTTCAGTCATATGCGACTCTAGTTAATCCCTTTTTAATATGCATACATTCTATCAGTTCTGCTCCTTTAGAGAACCCTGAATAATACAAGAACCACCAATTTATGTATTCGTAGTATGTCATCCTCATAAAAGCAAAGACTTACGAATTAGAGTTTTTATAGGCATGTATAGGCTGTGAGGAAGAAAAGATCATAGGCCAGAAAGTAACTGGAATAGTGCTATTATACAGTACTTGTAAAGGGATAAGGACTAGGGGTGGCCACAGAGAGAAGGAACAAAATAAAGGGCACATAATACCAAGTAAGACTTGACAGAGAAAATAATGCATATCTAGGGTGAAAGTCAAAGATGATGCCAAGTTTTCTGATATGATAGCTAGAAAACTTGTGATGTAGCTTTAAAATAAACATGGTTTTAATAGACTAGGGCCAAGAGTGATGGCCCATGCTTGTAATCCCAACACCTGGGAGACTGAGGAAGAGTATGAGCTAACTTGGGCTACCCTAGAACAAAACAGAATGAAATAATCAAGGCCAGGATACAGCTTAGTTGTATAGCTCATGCTTAGCAAACAGGAGGCCCTGGCTTCAATTCTTAGCAGCACAAAACAAACAAAATATAGTTTAGCCAGATGTGGTGGTTCACATCTGTAATTCCAGCACTTGTAAGACAGGAAGACTGGACCAAGCTAGAGACCAGTCTGAACTTTGGAATTAGTACTGTACCAGGGTAGTTGAGCTAAATAAAAAGACCGTGGTCAAAGACAATCCAAAACACTAACAAAACAATAATTAATAATAATAATAATAATATTGATATTTAAGAGATATATATTTTGTATCTCAGTTCTAAGGCAATACTCAGCCTATAGTTTTAATTATTATCTCACATGGGTTTCTTTCCTCTAATTTTTTACAATATTTGTTGTTTACTACTAGTTATTTAATATTGTGACATATTCTCTGCAATGATTTCATGTCAAAATGTCTCAGTATGTGGAGATAGTATGTGTTTGTGTATGTGTGTATTAGTGTGCTTGCCTTTGAAGATTGTGTAGAAGTGAGAGGTCAATCACTCCTTCCTCAATCACTTCCCACCTGGTTTGGGTTTTGTGGTTTTTGGTTTTTGTTGTTGCTGTTGTTCTTGCTTTGTTGTGGGTTTGTCTGGTTTTTTTGTTTGAAACAGAGTCTCACTGTTTGCTCTGGTGGGCCTGAAACTTGCTATGTAGGTCTGGCTGGACTCAAACGACAGAGATGCCTCTACCGCCTGTGTGCTGGGACCAAAGGCGTGCACCACCACACTCTACCCTCTGTATTTGAGAGGGTATCTTTCATTGAACCTGAAGTTCACTAGACGGGTCAGGGAACCCTTAGGTCTGTCTGTCTCTGTCCCTCCACTGCTGAGATTTCAGGTATGTACCACTGCACTTAGCTTTTATGTGGATGCTGGGGACCCAAATCCAGTCCTCGTGCTTGTAAAGCACTAGCTAAGCCATCTCCCCAGCCCTTATCAATATCTTATTCCCCAAAGTAACACTTGTTCTCTATCTCTTTCCCTTATGTCTCAATCCCTAAAACTACTAAGTACATGTTACTGATGCATCTGTTTCAATACGCTTTGGAAAATACAAAGGTGGGACTGGAGAGATGATGGCTCAGCTGCTAAGAGCACTCGCTGCTCTTGCAGAAGATCCAGACTTGGTTCCTAGCACCCACATGATGGTTCACAACTGTCTGTAACTCCAATTCTGGGAATCTAAGACCTTCTTCTAACCTCTGCAGGCACCAGGTACACATGTAAGCAAACCCTTCATTCGCATACAATAAAAATTAATGAATCTTTTAAAAAAAGACATCAAATGATAATATAAAATTATCAATATTCTAAAATAAAAGTATGCTGATAAAATAAAAAGGAACTAGAAGGAATATTTGAAAACTAAAGCTATAAAGAACAAATTGATAAAGACTGTAAAATCAAGAAAAGTTAGGAATTATTAAAGAAATAATCCATTTCCCATAACTGAAGAACGTAAATTTCTGTACTGACTGTAGTTACCGAGTACACAGCACAACAAACACAAAGAAATACTAACTAGTGCAATGTCAGCGCATAAAATAAGAAGAAACCCGGTGGGAGGCTGGGGTAGGATGAACGTGAGCTCAAGCTTAGTCTGTGCTACACAGACAGCACTTTCTCAAAAGAAAGAGAAAGAAAAAAAGAATAAAGAAAGAGAGAGAGAAGGAGGGAGGGAAGGAAAAGGAATTAGTACTTTATAAGAGCATTACTATCATGACAAAAAGTTTAAAATGTATATGTTAATCTTATAAATTTGAGATAATATTTATACTTTAAGAAAAGCCTTAAAGAATCAAAATAAAACCAAAGGATTATGAGATTAGTGGCAATAAAATAGTCCCTTAATTTTGGTTGTTCTCCTGTCCATATCAGGTGGTTCTTCTGACATGAGACAGATTTTGGATATTTTGGATTTTACTTTAACAAGCATGCTTGGGTTTAGAGAAGGAGAGAGCCACACTCCAACTCCAAAGTCAGCTTTAACCTTTAATTGGACAGGGACTACAAAAAGACTATTTGCATTATATGTCTGGGAATTCCAAGCCAACCAGGGCTACATATTGTGACTCTGTCTCAAAAACAAAAACACTCCCCCCCAAAAAACAAAGAAAAAACAAATAATAAAATAAAACAAAGTGATTGATTCCCCGCATTGAAAAAAAGAAAGGAGCGGCAGGAAAGAAAAGAAAGGAAGGGAGGGAAGGGAGAGCTGAAGGAGGAAGAGGAGAGAGAAACAGAAGGGACGGCCAGGAGAGAAATACCGCTATTCCTGAGAAGATAACAATGACGCGTTCAGTGTAAAACACAGTACTCAGAAACACACTTGATGCTAAAATGTGAATGAGCAAAGCAAAGCAAAGCATTTAGCTTGTCCACCTCGCTAACCAGTAGAGACAGATGTACCAGGTATTTCTATGTCTGACCCTGAAGGAAGACCTGTCTTCGTTTTTATATCCTCTGAGCCTAGACAACTTTGAAATCCTTTTCGGAAACAGGTCAGAAGATCTGTATCCACTCTTGCCAAAAAAAAAAAAATTGTGCAGGCAACTCTGGCCTCTTTGCAGACATCAGGGCTTCATGGTAAGTCAATTCTAATTAGAAAAAGTCACTTTTTCTGGAGCAGGCGCTTCCCACTCCGTGCAAAGAGGAGCCAAGTGAACAGAACCGCAAAGACTTGGCTTACTTCAAACGCAAACTAATTTATTATTATTGGCCCAAATTTACCATCTCTCCTGGGGCGTAGGCCAATATCCACAACCGCACTGAAGTCTCGGCAAGGCACACCAGTAGCTAGTGGGGAGCACGACGATTCTCAGCCAAAACCCAGGGAGAGCTGCCCCCGTGCAGCGGTCTTCCAAAAGCCTCCCACAGATCTCCGCCTTTAAAACTCTGCATTTCCTAAGAAATGCTTCCAATTTCCGATATTAAAAGCTAAAGAAACGGCTCTTCGGAGCCCTTCAGAGAATGGCTCCCTTCCAGCGCTACTGCCACTGTTGGGGTTCACCAGGCACAAGCCCAAAGCTGGACCACACTCGCTCCAGCCTTGGCCACTGCCTTCAAAGTAACCGCGCGCAGCGGGCGTGCCCCGGAGTTCAACTTCCGGCCCCACACAGAGGCTATTTTCTTACTGGCCTTGCGGCTGCCCGAGCCGCGCCTTTGGCCACGCCCAAAGCCACGCCCCTAGGCTCGCTCTGCTTTCCTTGGCTGGAACGCGCGGGAGGGGCGTGGCCTCGGGGGAGAAGTGCTCTCGGTGTGGGTCCCCGCGCCTCACCGAGCGCAGTCACGCGAAGGCACGCTCCGCTCGGGCGGACGGGCGGGCGCGCGATCGCGCGCGCTCCCGCCGCCCTCTCCGGTGACGTGCCTGACCGAGGCCGCGCTAGGGCGCTGGAGCTGCCACTGAGCGGCTGTCATGGCGTCGGAGGCGCTGACTGAGGAGAGCCGGCCGCGCTGTCTATAGGACCCAGGGGCGGGCGGCCGGGCATGGAGAGCGG